TCCATTTACCCGAGGGCTTCTGTTCCTGCTGCACAGCCAGCTGCTCTCAGCTCTTTCTGGCTGTGAGGGGGTCTAGATGAGAATAAAATGGGATGTTTTATCTTCCTGTAGAGCAGGGGGTTCTCAGCCCTGACGCATACTTGAATCACCCTGGGCGACTGATTCTGAGTTAATGGGTCTGGTACAGGGTCCCTGCACCAGGAGAGCTTTAAAATCTTCCTGGGTGATTCTAATGTGAACTCAGGGATGAGAGCCAGGTTATAAGAAACTTTAAAAAAAAATACGTATTTGTATTTTCTTCAACATCCTAAAAACTGGTTCTAGAAAATAAAAGATGCTGTTCAGATCATAAAATATGGAAATTGTTTTCTAAATATACATTTAATGATTTCTTTAAATATATATTTAAATCTGTATTTCCCCCCATCCAGTATCTGGTATTTTTGAGGAGGCCAGTGGGCAAAGTGGGGAGGTTCTTGAGCCGGATTTGGAGTACACCACTGGAGAAGGAAATTGTTCCTGATGTGATTATCACTCATTGTAGTAATTAGGGCAATGCTAACTGGTGTAGCACTGTGGGATTTTGGCGCACACCCAGGGAGGAGGTCACAGGGGCGGCCCTCCTGTGCGTAGTCATTCAGGGCCCCCAGTTTGTGTCTCCAAGGTGGCCTTGGGAGGGGGGCGTGGAAGAGTGGGTGGGGCTCAGGGAGGCTTAGGGGAGGCCCCCACCGGCTGGGCGGGGCCATGCGTGCTCACACCCCATTGGCCAGAGCTCAGTCACGTGGCCACTCCCGCCTGTGTGGAGTGGTAAACGCCCAGCCCCAAGCCGTGAAGATGTCTCTCTGACCTACAGCATTTGTGTCTGGGATCAGATGCCTCCCAGAAAGGCACAGGTGCGCCGAGGCCGGGTGTGGGCCCTGCACTTGGAAATGCAAACTCCAGGCCGCCTGGGTGCGGGCGCGAGAGCCTGCAGAGCTGAAGTGCCGTGTTAAGCGCCTGTGCTCTTTTGTTCTTTTCTCCACAGATATCGCAAACGGCACCAGTTCAGGGGGGTACCGCCCACCTCCCAGAACCAAAGAAGTCATCATCAATGGCCAGACTGTGAAACTTAAATATTGTTTCACCTGCAAGATTTTCCGGCCCCCTCGTGCCTCTCATTGTAGCCTTTGCGATAACTGCGTAGGTGAGTAGAAGCAGAAATTGCCTCTGTTCCGCTTCTAACGCTTGTGCTCAAATGTCTGTAGCTGATGGAGTAGCTGATTCCCTCTGATTTAGACCTTGTGCTAAAGAAAGTCAACATGTGTGTCTCTTTAATCTTTCAAAACCAAACAACTAAATAATAGTTAACGTTTCAACCCTATTGCCTCCTGCCACTGATCTCGTTCACCAAGCCTAGCGTTACCAAACCTTTTTGAGTTTTTCTTTTTACATCCCGCAACACCTCTAGGACAGCACAGTGCCCTAGACCTTCTCCTCCTCGGGGTATGCACAACAGAGTGGGAGTTCTTTGTTCCTGGGAGCTGCCAGATGGGCAGGCACTTGAAATAAAACCATTTCACCCCGAGATCCCTTCATTGCCCAAGGAGCTGCCTCTGTATATACCCAGATGTGATTTGTGCAAGTCTCCCAACTCTCAGAGTGGCATTTTGCCTGGGGAGGTGGAGGCATTTGAAGGCCAGGGAGAGGAAAAGAGACAGAGAGGCCAAGAGACTTCCAGGCCCGCAGTTAGCATCATCACTCTTCCCAGAGACCACCAAGACCTACCTTCTCTGTCAACTTGTTTTCTCCAGGACAGACTAGGAAACAGGCAGAGGGAACACAGTGGGGCAAGAGGTCCTTAGTTGTCAGACTCGGCCCTGTTGTTAGGCCACCAGCACCCCTGCACAGGATTTCTACAACTGATATGGGTGTTATCCCCTTGGAATTATTTAGCAAAAACTTCCTGTCACTTGAGACTAAGAGCTGCTACCCGCATCCACAGACCATCTTCTCTTCCGGAATGGAGCTTCTCCGAGATGCGGTTGGCAAGGAGACAGCTGAAGCCCCAAGTTACAAGAAGGGTAGTGAGAAACGGACCAAAGCTTTGCTCCACTGGGGACAACCCACATGTCTTCAGCCACACAGCCTGCCTCTAGTAGAAATAACCAAGGATTTTCCTGGGCAAATGGGCATGAAAATCCTGTTAACCTCATACCTAAAAAAAATAGAACACTTCAGAATAAACCTGGTTTCCCTTAGTAACACATTATCAATTGGCAGCACTTTTTGAGCTGATTAGAATTTGCAGTCTCAATTCTTCTTGAGAAAAATATAATGTTATAGAATGTATTTCCTGCTGTGCAAAGCAGTTTTCCTTTTATTTGTCTGAAATGTACTTTATCCTAACTTTAATAATCTACAGTTTGGTAAAAAGTCCATGTTTTCCCTATCAGGCCTTGTCTTGGTTTTATTAACTTGGGTAGATTACTTTTAGCCTTTGGTTCCCCAGTGAAAGAGCATGGAATTTTGTTCAGTCTTTCCTGTGTAGTAAGAATCAGTTAAGAGCCTGGAATCTGGCGCCCAATGGCCTGGGTACAAATACTAGCTTCGTGACTCAGACAGGCTACCTCATCCCCCTCTGCCTTGGTTTTCTCACCTCTACAGTGATGTCAATAGAAGCACCTCATGGGATGGTTGACAGTGTAAACGAGTTAATGCATCCAAAGCACTTAGAACGGTGCCTGGCTTTTGGCAGATGCTCTGTAATTGTTAGCTCCTGTTCTGTTATTACTACTGTTCCCTTGACATTTCAGTTGCCTTTCTCTGGCCAATTTCTTGATCCACTGTGGCCCTCCACAGGTGTGATGACCAAGACTCTACCTGGTCCTCTATCTGAGGACACAAGCAGGGTTTCTACAAGGACACATGACAGCTTTTTGTGTTCTAATACTCTCCCTGGTGACTCCAGCCCCAGTGGCCAGCCCACCTTGAGGACACTTTTGAGCCAAAGCCGCATAGCGGCTTAAATATCTTTAGGGAAATGATCTGTAGGGATTCACAGGACCCTTTCTTGGGTTGTGACTTTGATATTATTGCGTGATGGAATAGTATGTAATTTATACTTCTTCACATAAAATTTTATGTTATTTTGCATTTCTTCTCCTGGAGGGCTAATGACTTGCTCCAGACAGTATTTATAGGAAGGGGGTTATTACCTACAGACCTAAAGAGGTTACTGGGCACCTCCTTTTCGTATCATTTATAAAAATGTTCACCCATTACTGGACCCTTGACTGTTTCTATTCATTCATTTGTGTCAGTTGGTCTCAATCTTCTGTTTTCTGTCTGTAGCCTAGATTCCTAATCATGATAAAACTTTCTCCCTATCTTGTAGCGGTTTAAAATTCTCTTCAGATTATATTGTGAAACACTTCCGAAAAGTTCATATAATTCCTTCATTTGTTCCCCCCATCACCCATAGGTTTACATGTTCCTTAAAGAACTCTGATGAATTAGATATAAAATCCTCTTACCAAAATCATATATCAAGTTAATGGTGTACTTCTCACATAGTATAACTATTTAAGTACCCTTTTTTATAGAAACTACCAGCTGAGAAAATAAGAGCCATCAGTCTATAATAGTTAGGAGCCCTTCTGATAAGTTCTGAGCAACCTTTCTGATAAATCCAAGTCACCATGCTAATCTAAACTCCCACAAGCAAACATGATGTTGCCCTATCATGAGAAGATGCAGAACAGCAAAGAGAAAGGAGAGGAAGGGGGAAAGATTGGGGTGGGCTCAAGAGGAGGAAACTGGACAGAGAACACATTGCTGCCTCTAAACGTCACTTGATGGTCCCAGGGCTGGAGGTTGGCAAACCCCCATTGGGGAGGACAGGTGAGACAAATATTGTACAGTTGATTTAAAATAAAGCTGCTCACAGCAGTCACAGAACAACCACACAGTGATTCAAACCTACGTCGCTTTGGCTTCCCAGTTCATTACACTACATTTGGGCCTTTGGTGTGACCCATTATCTGACCAACGAATTGGACCTTATGCATTCAGGAAAGGAGAGTGGAAATCAGATGTCTCCAACTGAGAAGCGTATTTGCAGAATTTGCCACTATTTTATTTTTAGATAGAAATTTGTATTGAAAGAATTCTACTTTTTGCAGCCAGGGGAGGAAAATACGACGATGTGCTGCAAGCCAGGGTTAGCACACGTGGCTTCCCTTCCCTTGTAATGAAGGGGTTTGGCTTGGATTGGCAGCTCCTAGGTACGCACACAAATGTCGCTTTGCACTGGGAGAGGAGAGGGTAAAATGCAGCTTCCCGGGCAGTTCAGAAGAGGATTTTTCTTTTTTAAATAAGTCTGAAATGAGAGCAAAGTCACAGGGGCTCTGTACTTTGAGTTGAGGACTGAGGGAAAAGCTTTCTTAGGGAGCAAACTCTGCTGCTGATATAGGACCAGTTAGCCCAGCCAGGTGGTTGGGACATTCAGAGACCCAGGGCTGAATCCTGGTCTTGTCCTTGGATAGTATTGGAACCTGGGCAGATTATCTGACCACCCCCAGTTGTTTCCACACCTGCAAAGTGAGGTGATCCTAGTACTGCCCCACAGGTTTCTTTAAGGATGAAGCAAGATAGTGACCGGCAAGCACCCAGTACAGACCCAGGGAGGTGCAGGGCTTAGAAAGGGCTGGCCGGTAGTGTTGTTATTTTGTGTAGCGGGAGGAGTGCTGTCTCGGTGCTCTCAGGGAACCACAGAGAAGGAGATTCCCTTCACAGAGCAGCCGGAGTCCCCTTGTTTTCCGTAATCTGGGAGGGTTTTGATGATCTGCTGCCGCAGGGATGAATATATTCTCCCTCTCTGCTTCTGTTCATCTGTTTCGGTCTCTCTCTCTTGTTCTCTCTCGGTGTTGCCATCAAATTGCTTCTGCACTTTTGAAACAGACTATTTGGGGTTGTTTGTTCATCCAGGCCATTTTTGACATTGTAAAATATTTTTAAACAGCTGTCAGATGGGGCCGGGGAGCCACCTCTGCTCACTCAGACCCTTGGGGGTCCCTCAGATCATGAAAGTGAAAGAGTGAACGAAAGGAGCTGGAAAGCAAACACGCACTTGTGAGGTCTTCTCCAACCCACTACTACTCTCCAGCCCCAAAGGAGTCCCCTCCACATTTCCCCGACCAGGGCGGACACTTTTAGAGAAGTCTTGCCTTTGGGGGCCTCTGGTCCAGTGTCAGAAGAGCCAGCAGCTTACTCTAGAATTGGGTATTTTTCATACAACCTAAACCTATCATAAAAAGGGATTTACTGGAAAGTGATGTATTCACACATTGTGAATGAAATTCAGTTTGCTCAGCACTGAGATAGGGCACTGTAAGCATTTGCAAGCCTGCTGCACGAGAATGTGTGTAACGTTGAGCAGTCAGGAGGCAGCTGGAGGCGCCAGCACCTGGATCCCAGACCTGCTGACCTGTCTGGGCAAAGGGAAGCCTCTCTGTGTCTACGATGCCACATCTGGACCTGCTGTGAGCACAAAGGAGGTGGTGCACGAAGCCCTCAAGTAGTGTCAGCCCCTGCGGAGCTCTTGGCAGGACCAGCCTTTTCCCTCACACAGGCCTGGTCCCATTTTCTTCTGTCCCCTTCTGTCAGTTGTGGTGTAGATGGCACCAAGAACTCTGCAGGGACTCAGTGTCCAGTTACCCTTGTTCTGGGAAGAGCTTAACCGTCATCTTTAAATGCCTGCACTGTCTCTCCTGGGCACTTTACTACACACTCTTCCTTCTGCCCCACAGTGTCTCCTTCCCATCGATCTAGCTGCTTCCTCTGTGATGTGGGTTTCTGAGCTCAGACTGCGGATGTCTTGTCTGCTGTGTGCAGTCTGCTGTGTGCTGCTGCTGCTGCCCATTAGAGCCCAGTTACTGCTTCATAGTTGTATCAAATATTAAGAGGTCTGGAATATCTGAGATTTAAAATTGCAGCTACCTCCTGCACTCTAGGATTTCCTTTTAACTATTTGGGTATGGTGAGAAAGGTATTAGTTTTCCATAGGAAAGCGAGTCGTTTGAAGGGAATGGAACAAGCTGGCATTTGTATCCTCCCAGGAACCAAAAAACCCAGGAATTTACTGTGTGCCACCCCTGCCACCCCGGTTTCCAATATCCTTGCTTTTCATTGATGTTTAATGAGCAC